GGGGGGGGGGGGGGGGGGTTGCAATACAATTGTTGACAAAATCTTATTATCATCCATTTTGCATGCACATACATTATACTATAATATGTATTTTGCTGGTGAGGCCCCCACATTAGCTTCTGCACAATAAATAAATTAAAAAAGCAAGTAATTAAATATTATTAATGGCTCAGCATGTAGCACACAGGAGGGTGCTAAGCATAAAAGATGAGTAAGAGTTGACCATGATACAAGGTGATAGCTAAGTGTGACTCCAGTCTATTTCCCTGGTAATCTTCCCAAGAGTAACCGTAACTCAAATGTACTCACTGTGCCAATTGCCATTTATGTTATAACATAACCAAGAGATAAATGTTTGAAATGTGCCACACTGTAAAAGATAGTACGTGTAGGGGAATTACATTCAGCCTTCTGTAGACTCCATGGTGGGAGTAAATTATTACTCTAAGTAACATTTTTTTTTCTGTTCAAACAAACTTTTGATAAATGAATAAGTAGTTTTCAGTCTTGATGAGGATAATCTGTAATAACAAATAAAATTTTTAATTTTCTCTCAGTATTTAATAAGACTGAACACCTTTGCAAAATATGACATAAAACAAAATGAAGCTGCATAGAAATTGATGCATACCATTTTGAATCATTCAATAATGTATGCACTAGATTTTGCCAACTTTAATATTAACCCACGGACAAATTTAATAATATGTGTAGTTAATACATAATTGATCAACCAGAGCACTTGCAGAACAAAAAAGCCTGCTAAAACACACCTGCAAATCCAGAACAAAGAGTGGACAGAATAACAGCAACTAATCCAAGCAATGGACTCTGTGATACTTCTGGTGGAGCAGCAGTCTGAATTGACTTAGCCGGATCTTCCGTATGATTGGATGGTCCATCTTTTGGCTGCAGTTGTACAATGGAGACACCCACAAACAACATGAAGAGTGATAGCCATTGAAGCTTGACGAGAGTTTTGTTGAGCATGAACACGGAGAACAGCGCCGTTGTGAGAATCTTTAGTTGGTATGTCACCTTCCAAAGAAATGAGGCAATTATTAAATTATTATAAAGTCATGTATATTTTTCATTTTATAATTAATGTTTTAAATTATTTTATTTAACTGTTTTTAAAGGTTCTCTAATTGCCATAGTAACCCAAACAGGGCTTCTGATATTTCGCGCAGTCGGGGACCCGTGATATTCAGGTGAAAATCGTGAAATCGGCCCATTTTTCTAAGAATTTGCCCCTGAAATCCTTCGAAATTTGACTTTTTTTCGCTAAAATCCCGCGAAATGGGCCAATTTTTCTGCGAATTTTGCCTTTTCTCCCGTGAAAATCCCGTGAAATCGACCGATTTTTCCGCGAATTT